TGGATGGTCAGCTTAAGCGAGTCGCCATTGTCGAGTCTACTACAATTGCTTTTACCATCCAAGACTAATATATACGTATATAGAGCGGAGCATTCGCGTGTAACATACAAGACGATGATAAACGTAATATAGGAAATAATAACAGCACTTAGGCCGTTCATACACTATATTGACAAGCGGGATCTTTCTCAAGCAAGACTTGCAATTGCATTTTCGGAAAGTTTAAACGCAACCAAAAAGTCCAATTTCCTTAGAGCCCAAGTGTTTGGCGTAAGACAATTGTAACAAATATTAGGCACAGTACTAGGCGGGTTGGTGTCCCATCGCTACCACATCTGGACGATGGAACATCTATAAAGATTCAATTTTTATACTAATACCAAATACAACCGAATTTCCTTAAATCTGTCTGGTTGTAAAATTCGTTCATAATTATAAATAAAATATCCTGTATGTCAGAGCTACGTAGATTAAAAAAGAATTTACGCTTACCCCTGACCTAAAAAATAAAATCCGTGTCCCCAAAACATTTTGACAGTTGTCGTCTTGCGAACCCATTGGATCTTTAATGCAGCTTATATATTTTGTCACAAATAGGAAAAAATCATAAAGTTTAACCATGAGTTTTCCTTTTTAGCTACTAAGAGGAAATACCTTTATAATAATGATAGTATCAATATACAAGATCCTGGAAGGGCATGCAACATTTGTGATGTGCTTGGTGGTTATAAGAATGGTCTGGACAATTTTATAACATCTAATGATTGGTACCGGGTTGGTATTGGTGCAACTATATTCCTCTCAAGGGATGTTACATAATAGCTAAAATAAAGATGTTAAATCTCTTTGCTAAAGGGCTATTTCTTAATGTTCGTTGAACTACTCAAAAAACAAATTTCGAAGTGGTTTGTTCTGCATATGTTTACAGAGAATCAGATCTTTATTAGGATTGAACGTGGGTTAAAAATAAAATATCATAACAGATCTGAAATAAATAAATTTCTTGCCAATACTTTTACTTGATTACCTGAATTTTTTTATTTTATGACTTAATTTTTGGTCTTCACTGATTTGCCTCTAAATAAAGTAAGTCTATCGTTTCTTATTTTGTTTGTGCTACATGTTTCCTGATCATATACTCATATTGGCTTCCGAATATATTCATGATCAACCCTACCCATTTCAGCTCCCTAAGCGTGTCAACGAGTTTTTCTATAAACAGCCAGTTTATGAGGCGACTGGAGATCTCGAGTCAGATGAGACTGTCAACAGTCGCGTTGTTAACCTGATTGTGGCCTCCAACCGGATGGCGTTGCGTGCCGGGATTCAGGCTGCGCGTCGTATCGTGTTGCCTTGTCCTCTACGATCAAATACCTCGGAGGAATTTTTTGTCTTATCTGAATCTACAAAAAAGGAGACTCGAGGAGGGACTAGCAATTTCGAGGCAGAAGCTGACTTACTTCTCTCCGGTTCTGAA